ATTTGTGTACATGAGGCTCAGTGGAGACCCCCCAGCCCCCTCACCAACACGCGGTTCAGGGGCCGTACCTGCAGAGTTCAGTGTTTGCAGATGCCAGGTACCTGCCCTCCGCCGGAAACGTCCGTACATGAGAAACACCAACAAAATGCAAGGGGTGGAAGTTTTTTGGATCCTGATTGGAACAAACCAAAGACAAAACCATTTAAGAAAATCTGAACATGGGCTGATGGATTATGGTAAGCAAATACTGTTCGTTTTCTTTCTATATTATTGTTTGCAATGATACAATGCCTGAGATTTACTTTTAAAAACTACAGCAAAACAAAATGAAAAAAAACAAAAACTGTGGGAGGAAATATTTGAAACAAAATTGGCGTGATGTTGATAATTGCTAATGTTGACTTGGATGTTGGTGGGTTATCTTATCCTCTTCTACCTCCGTGTACTATGTTTGAAATGTTCATATGTGAAAAACAGTAATCCTTTGTCCAGTATGTGTTACTGATTTCTATCTTGATTTCATATTTCTCAAAATAAATGCTCATGTGCTTTTAAACTTGTGGAATGTGTTCAGACTTGCATTATTCAATATTTGGTCAACATGTTGTGAATGTTCTGTGTATGCTTCAAAAACGCTCGTATAAACTCATTGGCTTGAGTGTCCCCTCTGCACGTCTGAGGTGATTTTTGTTGTGTTAACTATATTCCCTGTGTATCACTCATGTTTGTGTGTCTTTCTACCAGTGATTCACCCAACTCCGCTGTGGATTTCTCTCATTCCTTTGCTACTTGTCCGATTTGGCTTCATACCTTGAAGCTATGTTACAGGAGGTATATGAATCTTGGAGTGTTATAATTTCCAGGCTGATTAAATATTTTAGCATGATCAAAAGCCCTTCCTTATTACTGGTAATCACTCTTCCCTTAAAGTTTCTGTCAGGTGATATTAGCATGTTTCAACTTCCTACTGTCTACCGTCACAGGGTATGTCTTTTTTTTAACCTTTACCCTGCATCTTATATGTAGTTTTTATCTTAGTCTCTAAAAAAAATGCACTCTGGGGGCATTTGGCTGGCTCAGTGGGTGGACCATCTGACTCTTGACCTCAGGGTCATGAGTTCAAGCCCCACGTTGGGCATGGAGCCTACTTAAAAAAAAAATTTAATTAAAAAACAGTACTCTGAAAATATTTTTATTTATTTGGACAGTTTGGGCCATTTACATTTATATAATTTATACATATAGTTTATATAATGTACTTTATATACAAATTTATATAATTCATACCCATAATTTAAATAATATAATTTATATAATTGCTGGAGTTGGTGGCTACTATTTTTCTATGCAGCTTCTATTCGTCCAATTTATTGCTTGCCTTTTCTTCTACTGCGTTTATGTTTTTATAATTAATCAAATAGTTTTATTAGAACACTTGCCTCAACTTCAAGCTTGTTGGCATCACATTAAAGTCTTATTCTTTTAGTGGCTTAGACATTACAAGATACATCTTTGATCTGTCATAGGCTGAATTAAGTTATTATTTTTACCAATTTGTTTTCCCCATGAAACGATTTTGAGTGATTTCCCATTTATGCTATTAAGTTAAAACAACAAGCCTTAAGATAGAGCCAAACCTCTCAGAGCTACCAGGTGAAAATGACAAACCAATGATTCTAAAGGATTTTTCTCAGGTTATATTTACTGATGCCATATAGTAAAATAAGAAATCAATAACAAAGTGATAGTCAAAAAATAAAATAGATAGCATTAACAAAATCATAGTCAACATCCCATGAGTTTAGAGTCCAAAAACCACATTCCTAAATAAATTCAAGTTACAGAAGAAATAAAAATTAAAATTAAAAGGCATTTATAGCTAAATTTCAAAATATGTATAGAAACGTGTGTATTGCAGCAGTACTCAAAGAGAATTTATGGATTTAAATGCATTTATTGGTAAATTGGAAGAACAGAGGCTAAACATTCAAAATACCAAATTAAGGGGAGAACAACAAAATAAACCCAAAGAAAATAGAATAAAGGAGATAATAAAGATAAAAGGAGAAATGAATGAAGTAGAACACTAATACAACAATTAAATAGATTTGACCAATAAAATAATAAGCTGGTTCTTTGATAAAACTAATAAAATGGTAAACCTCTGGCTATTTACATGAGTAAGTATCATTAAGATAAAAAATGACACAGTATAAAACGGATTTAATGCCACAACACATCACTTCAGGAAGAATGTTGAGCCGATAACTTAAAAATCTAAATGTAATGAATAATTTTCTACAGAAAAACATAAATTGTCAAAATTCCCAGGAAGGAAAAAGCCTGAATAGAACAGTATATATTTTTTTAATGAGCTCAGGATTACTAATGTCCAACAGTGTACCCTCAGCATCACAAGGCTGGATCTGTTCTGTGTGACTTCTAGAAAACTCAAAGAACCATTATTCCAGGCTTATTTAATCTCTTCCAAATTTAATAAGAAATAGAAAGTTGCCCCACTGATTTTATGAGACTAGTAAAATTTTTATGCATAAACAGAACACAGGTGACATAAGAAAATGATATTATTGGCCAATCTCCATTATAAACTCAAATACAGTTTTACATTTTACATAATTTTTATAAAAATTCTCAAAAGACATTTTGAATATAGAAGGAATATTCTAAAAACAATATATCACAGACAAAGCCAGCTTATTCCAGGAACACAGATATTATTTCAAGGTAGAAAATCTATTGACACAGGAAGTATGTAATAGATTATAATAGGAGAAAAACAATGCAATCTTCCCAACAGTTGCATGCAGAAACAATGGGTACTTGCAGCATTTTAGCTGGGCACAGTTTCTGGCATTCAAATCTGGCTACATCGTGGGTTGAATGGAGGATAAGCAATGAGGTTCTCATACAGTCAAGGTGGGGTTGTGAATCAATATGGTTCCCTGAGGAAATCTTTGCCATATCAGCGGATTTCTGTAGTTTCTAATGGGCATCTCCTTTACCTGAAGGCTTCCACATGTAGTTACTGACCACACAGAATCATTCCCACAAAAGTAGGTAAAAGCTGGCATCTACACACAAGAACGTTTATTGCAGCATGGTTGGAAAGAGTAGAAAACTTGAAACAATATAAATATTCTTTTTTTTTTTTTTTTTAAATTTTTTTTTTTCCCAATGTTTATTTATTTTTGGGACAGAGAGAGACAGAGCATGAACGGGCGAGGGGCAGAGAGAGAGGGAGACACAGAATCGGAAACAGGCTCCAGGCTCCGAGCCATCAGCCCAGAGCCCGACGCGGGGCTCGAACTCACGGACCGCGAGATCGTGACCTGGCTGAAGTCGGACGCTTAACCGACTGCGCCACCCAGGCGCCCCAATATAAATATTCTTAATAAAATGAGATACATGCATACAATTAAATAATCTGAATATCTTTGTAACTAGTTCTTAAACTAGTGTAAGTGATACATGTAGTTTAATATTATTTATGTAAATTTAAAACCATTAATATCTATATATTTTTACTTTAAAGTATTTTTAAATGTTTTTGGATAAATGTACACAAACTGATAATCATGGATACCTCTAGGTATGACTGCTAAAAATGTAGAAAATATATAGAAAATATTAAATTTTTTAATCTTATTGGGGACATAAGGATACCATTTTTATTAGTGCTTTCATTTATTGTCTATTTGAAATTATAACATTTTATTTTTTTTAATGTTTATTTATTTTTGAGACAGAGAGTGACAGAGCACGAACGGGGAAGTGGCAGAGAGGGAGGGAGACACAGAACCCGAAGCAGGCTCCAGGCTCTGAGCCATCAGCCCAGAGCTGACGCGGGGCTCGAACTCACGGACCGCGAGATCGTGACCTGAGCTGAAGCCGGACGCTTAACCAACTGAGCCACCCAGGCGCCCCGAAATTATAACATTTTAAATGATTTGGGTAATCATACTGCTGATTAGGTATTTGGCTGTCCTAATCCATGTAAGTATGTTGAAGTAGTCTCTAGAATTAAAGCCAATAAGGATTTTGATATTTTATAAATCGATAACTATTATGAATATAGGGAAAGCATGGCCAATATTTTCACACTTTAAAAATTACCCAGATTTTCAGCTGTGCTTTCAGAACAGATAAAAACTTCATATTCAATATGAAGAAAAAAATTTTATAAATTCTATGAAATTACAATATCTGTGAAAGGGAATGTTATAATGGCAAAGACAAACACTTTTATTTATAAATAAATCTGCCTACTTTTGGGAGATTTAAATATTCACACTTAATGACAATACTTCAAATTGTGTTTATTTGCCCTCAATTCAGGTATAGCACTAAGGGGTCAATTGAGAGATTGGGGGCTGCTCTGTGGTAACAAGAGTTACCACACTGTGGTAACGTGTAGTAGAGAAACAGTCACGTTGGTCGTTCTCCTTGGAGACTTTCTCTGTGGCTGGGAGAGATCAGAATGGTCCCGGGTGCATGGAATCCCAGACGCCCTGCTGAATATGTGAGAATCAACAACCCCTGATAAGACAAACCGTCAGGTAGCTGTGGGTGTGCAGGGCCCTAACCGGCCGGCGAGCTGCAGACGCAGCCCCCGCTGCAGAGCCCTGTCCTCAGCTAGACCCACCTGGCAGCCGTGACCAGCACGAGCTGGAGCTGCCTTCTGTCTGCTCATGGTGATAGTTCGTTACCAGAGCAATAACTCCGGGATTCCTGGAAGTATGATTCATGTGCACATGCTCCTGCCTCTAAACGTGTTCATGTATACACAGCATCTTTACAAATTAGCCAGAAAAAGACACATAACAGTTTGGGAAAGGAGGATGAAAAGAAGGGCTTAGGGTAGTAACTTCAGGACGCCATTGAAAGGAAATGTCACACCTGTTTTACTGCGGAGCCGAAGCTGTGACCCTTAGACGCGGGATGTGTAAGTCCTCGGCACCTGGGGAATGGCTGAGTACGTGTCACGGTTGTCCCTGATGTGGGTCCCTCCACAGCAGTCTCCTCAGAGCCCACTTAACCTCCTTGTTTCTCAGCGTGTAGATGAGAGGATTAAGCGAGGGCGTCACTACAGTATAGAAGAGGGTGAGGAATTTACTGTGGTTCTGCGTGTACTCGCTCTTGGGTTGGATGTAGACAGAAATTATAGTCCCGAAGAACAAAACCACAACCAGCAGGTGGGACCCGCAGGTCCCAAACGCTTTCCTCCGGCCTTCCGTGGACCTTATTCTCAGCACGCTCCTGGCGATGCAGCCGTAGGAGACCAGAATCAGCCCCAGCGGTATGACCACATAGAGGACGATGGCTATGGAGAGCTCGTTCTCCAGGAAGGTGGTGTTCACACAGGCAATTTTAATCAGGGCGGGCTCCTCACACATGAAATCATCCACCCTGTGGTGGTTGCAGAGAGGCAGCTGGAAGACGAGGATGGTCTGAAGCGTGGACTCCACAAAACCACTGCTCCAGGCCACAGCTGCAAGCTGCCGGAGCAGCCTGGGGTGCATGATGACGCCATAGTGCAGGGGGCGGCAGATGGCATTGAAGCGGTCATAAGCCATCACCGTCAGGAGGATGCACTCAGTGGAGCCCAGCCCCAGCGCCACATAGAGCTGGAGCACACAGCCCGTGTAGCTGATGGTCTTCTCGGGGCCCCTGAGATTCACCAGCATCTGTGGGACAATGCTCGTTGTAAAGCAGAGGTCCAGGAAGGACAGATTCGACAGGAAGAAGTACATGGGCGTGTGCAGCTTGGGGTTCAAGAAGGAGACCAGGATGATGGCTGTGTTCCCCACCAGTGTCAGTACATATATGATGGAGATGGCCACAAGGAGGACCTTCTCCAGCCGGGGCTGCTCAGAGAAGCCCAGCAAGATAAACCCTGCCGGGTTGCTAGAATTTGTCCCTTTCATTCCTCCCTACCTGAGAGTCACCTTTCTTTGTCATTCCTGTTTTATTCCTGCGGGAAGAAAATCAGGTCTCATAACCACTGGAAAAATAACAAAGTGAGTGAAATGAGCATTTGGACACTGGAATTAGAGAAACAACAGACAAAGATAAAATTATGCAAACAAATATAATAGGTTGACTTGTTATCCGGAAAGAAAGACAAATATATTCAGTCATGAAAATACTAAATGCATTGAAAGGAAATATACAAACATAGGAGAGACATTAGAATCATATACTGAACCAGATTTGAGATTTATATACCAAACCACCTGAGGATTAAAATACACAGGCCATCAATGCACACACTGTGAAAAAGCAGAGAAATGGAAAAGGTGATTGGTTCATACAGATAGACATGTGCTAGACAATATATGTAACAGATAAGTTGAAAGATCCATGTAGTGAGCAAGGGTCTGAGAGAAGGTACACAGAGTTGGAGACACATAGAATTTTTATACAGGAGCAGTGAGACATGGTTATCATTCATATTCATTGTGTTTCTATGAAGCAAATAATTACTGACCTGATAATAGCATTAAGCAAAACTTCTGTGATCTCCCTATTTGAGTCATAGGTCTACTGTCTTCATGAATATTGCTGTCTAGGAAAGTCTAATTCACAGTCCCCAACAAGCACACTCTCTCCCCAGTGGGTCCCAAGTCCACACGCTTTAATATGCTTTCACTACAAGAGCATCTGAATTCAGTCATCTAATGCAATCCACTGACATTTCATAGAGTAAATGGTGTAAAATGCATCAGTGTCCTTCATGCTATTAGCCTGCAGAGATTAGGAAGTGCAGTTAGGAACATCGGTCCCTCTGAATGCTCTGTCCTAGCGTTTCCAAATGACTGGGCAGATGGATTACCTGTGGGTCAAACCTAAACAGGTTTCTTACAATAAAAAACAAAAATATCCAATGAAAATTCTCTTCAATATCCTGACCAGAGGGGACCTTGAGGAAGATGGCGGCGTAGGAGGACGCTGGGCTCACCGCGCGTCCTGCTGATCACTTAGATT